ATTTAACCACGCTAATATTCTACTCTAGTTTGATGCTTAATTCTTTGAAACATAGAGTGGGTATGCACATACAGATATACAAATGCACACAACCTATTGTAGGGTACTAGGGTACGTGCTTTAGCAGGGGATTGGGATTCAATGATGTCTTGAGGTCCCTTCCAAACCCTGCAATTCTGTGAAGCAACACAAATATGTGGGAGCCTACACAGTCCATGGCAGAATCTTAATGGCCATGGCAAGTAAAATACACATATGACAGCTTTTTTGCATGCTGTTCCAGTAGCATCTCTCCCCTGTTTGCATCCAGTACTTAGATCCAACACCAGTCACTAGACTCCACTTTTAAGACACCCCCAAACTGCACACCCTTATTTCTACTGGAGTTGAAGCTTAAGTGAGACTGAAGGAACTAAAGGACACCAGTGTAAAAAGTTGCTCCAGATCACATTTTGGCATTAAAAGTCTGCAACAATCATTTTGCAAGTAGAATGCTTTATTCAAGGCAATCATGCTTTTCTTCTTCGGCTAAATATTACAAGATGCCTGGAGCTAACTGCTCATTCTATAGTGTAGAACATGCAATACATTTCTCCATCCATATCCTAAATACATTCTGAAATCTCTCATTCTATATCAATGCAATTCTGAACTTGTGGAGACAATGACAACATTCAGTGCACTTCCTTAAAAGTACACCCACTAGGTTAAATTATGCCACTGAAATCAAGCAAGATGTGGCTCTCGGATGACTGTCCTCAATGATAAAACTTAAAAATCCCAGAAGATCCCATTTTTACTAGTAACCTTTATAAATCTCACTGGAGTTGTAGTGGCAGATCACTCAAATGAATGCATTTTCCAGCAGAGTACACTTTTGTCATTATCTGAAAGTTCAACCATTTGCTTCCAGCAGCTTTGCCACTAGACCTACCAATTCTAAATCATTTGGCTACTAATTCATACAGCAAGATTCTTATCCCAACTGGACAATGCACAGAAGGTTGAAGAACTGACATGACAGAATCAGAACTGTATGGTGTCAGTGAAGGAGGAGCACAAAAGCAATGTGATAAATAGAAAAAGTGTTAGGAAGGTGGATGCTTTCAGATATTGGAGAACTTTCAGATACAGAAATATGACGCCACTTTTTTTTTTTTTTAATGCTTTCTAAAAATTTCAATAGCATCTAAAGTAATTTTCTACTACATAGAAAACTAATGTGAATAATGTGAATGATGCTCTTACTTACAGTCACAAATATACATACAAATGGCAATGCAAAGTTTTCTACATTTTTGGTAATATGGCATTAAGAGATTTTTACCCATCTGGGACATACCAGCACTAAGATCTCAAAACTTTACAATTTTGGAAAGAAAGGAAAGAAATTTAAGGCCAAGAGACTGCAGTACTGAACAATCTCTTCCCACTCCCTGATCCTCTCCACCTACACAGATGTTTCCATTGATGCACATATACCATTCACAGTTTGATCACAAACTGACTGTAACATCTACTATTCCCCTGGAAAAAGGGAAAATGAAAGACCCACTACTTTACTGAATTCAAAGCTGCTAGGCCAGCAGCAGTTATTGTTGCTGCTTGGCTTCTCTTCTCATCACTCCCTCCTGCCCCCCACTCCCAGGCCTATCCTGATATTTTATTTCCCCTGGCTTCTCTTTGCAAAAGTTTATAGTTGATAGAGTATTTTCCAAACATGTCATTGATGAAAAACCTGGTGGAAGGAAAAAGAAGAAATGGTAGAAAATTGATAAAGTCAGTATCAAAATGAAACGCTAAGTCAAAGACAGAATTGGAAGCCTGCTAAAACAACACAGACTATATTTTAAATTAACATCCAACTTACTATTATCCACATAAAAGATCCCTGAACACTTCTACCCTGAATTAAGTCCTTCTATGAGCCAGGGAGTATTCTAGTTAAAAACAGAAAAGCAACAAACAAAAGTACACAGTCTGCTTTTTTTGTTGTTGTCAGAATAATACTTGTATTATAATGGGCAGATGTCAAAATGAATCTTACAGATCACTTTGAGTGAAAATTATCAAAAGCTATACTAGCAAAGCTTAGAGAACTTTACCATCTTAAAACCTCTACAATAACTTAGGGAATAAGATTTAGCTCAGCTTTTTTAAAATTTTTTACTATTTTTTTTTAATCATTTGCTCTTTCCCCTTAATTTTTTTCTGTTCTAAACATTGTTTACTGCAAAATGGAATTAAAAAAAAAAAAAAAACAACAAACAAACCAAAAAAACAACAATCAAGGCACATAAGGAGGAACTAAATCTTCATATTACCTTTCCATACATTTCCATACACCTTTCACTGAGGTCACTTTTACTCCAGCCAATTTACTGAGTTTCAGGATGAAAACTTCACTGCATTTGAACTTCACAAAGTGACCAGTCTTCATTCAAATTCAAAGAACCCCAAGTTATTTTCAAATAACAACAGATGGACAAAAGACAACTCCATGCATGGATAGCCCTCAGCACAATGGATACTAACAGGCTAAAAATGAGTAATTAAAAAAATGCAGTGCATTTCAAATTATATTGTCATAGCGACTTACACATCTATGGGGTGTCTTTATTCCTGTCTCTGTCTATACAAGAGCCCAGTGGGGTTCAGAAGAATTGTGTGGACAGGGTTAGTATCAAGTGGAGCCAAGTACAGCAATGGACATCTGCTTACAGGAGCAGGTAGGTAACACAAGCCAGAATTCAAAAGATTTTCCACACTGTGTAATCCGAATCCAGATCCAAGATCCACTTTGTACTGAATCTGCACAATGTCTACATGAACTTTTCATAGAATTTATTTTGTCTTTCTAGAGTAAACAAACTATCATCAGCTTCTTTCAATATAAACAAGCTCTGTATACCGTGATCCCTTGTCTTACATTCCCCATTTCCGAAACATTTGAACGCCTCCTAATGTATTTTGTTTTGGTTTTATTAAGGAAGAATACAAAGAGAAATGGGCTTGAAAGCTTTTAAAATAAATACTGGTTGGGTATTAAGTACAGAGATACCTGGCAGCCTGGAGAAGTGGGCCCATGAAAACCTAATGAGGTTCAGTAAGGCCAAGTGCAGGGGGCTGCACTTGGGTCAGGGCAATCCCAGTTATTTATACTGGGGGAAGATCTCCTTGAGAGCAGCCCTGTGGAGAAGGACTTGGGGGTCCTGGTAGATGAGAAGCTGGACATGAGCCAGCAGTGTGTGCTTTCAGCCCGGAAAGCCTGGGCTGCATTAAAAAAGGGGAGACCAGCAGGGAGAGGGAGGTGATCGTCTCTACTCGGCTCCTGTGAGGCCCCATCTGGAGTACTGCTGCCTGGCCTGGGGCCCCCAGTACAGGACGGACATGGAGATTTTGGAGTGGGTCCAGAGGAGGAACACTAAGATGATCAGAGGGCTGGAGCACTTCTCCTGTGAGAAAAGGTTGAGGGAATTGGGCTTGTTTAGCTTGTGAAGAGAAGGCTCCGGGGAGACCTCATTGTGGCCTTCCAGTACTTGAAGGGAGCATATAAACAGGAGGAGGAATGGCTGTTTACAAGGGTGGACAGTGATAGGACAAGGGGGAATGGTTTTAAACCAAGACAGGGGAGGTTTAAATTAGATATTAGGAGGAAGTTTTTCTCACTCAGATGATGGTGACACACTGGAACAGGTTGCCCAAGGAGGCTGTGGATGCTCCATCCCTGGAGAAATTCAAGGCCAGACCGGATGTGGCTCTGGGCAGCCTGGTCTGGTGGTTGGCAACCCTGCACATAGCAGGGGGGTTGAACCTCGATGATCATTGTGGTTCTTTTCAACCCAAGCCATTCTATGATTCTCTGATTCTACTTTAAACAGAGAATGGTGCAGTTAGACTGAGTCCTTCAGTCCTGACAGGATACAGCCCTCACCCGAATTTCAGGAAATCTCTTACCTTCACAGCTGAGTTACTTTTGATGGAATGAAGCATTAAACGCTGGCATAGCAATCAATAGACAGTACACTGTCAGAACCAAGCCACGTGGATCTCCCAACACTGGTTTTCTTCCCCTGATTTAATGGAGTTCCCTCTGAGGCAAGATCGTCATCAGATCCACAGCACTCAACCAATGCAACAGCATCACAAACCAAAAGTGATAACCAATATTTAAAAATCAAGGGTTTTGATCTACCGCTTCAGATGCACTATATTTCAAATACTATTTCACTACATGAGCTTTCTCCAGCTGCCAGGAGCGTTACCCATTGGATTACATATGCTTAAATCACATTTCTATATTTAAACATGCAAAGCCAGCAGGAGAACCTTACGTTTCGCAACTGATTTACAACTGGCAGAAACCCACACTCTCCCCATGCTCTCCCCTGAAGTGCCACCTTTTCCACCTCAGGTAGCCACGACGTCTTACAGCCCACACCCTCCCCGCCAGCCGTAAGCAGTCAAGTGGGGAAGGTGACACGGTGCAGGAGGAACGCGCAAAAATACATCCCCCACCCACCCCCACAGACACAGTGGACTTTAAAGGCAGCTGAAAGAAAGCTCTTGGTCTCCCTTTCCCGCCACGTCGCCTCCGCACGCTTAAGGAAGCCTCTGGTCTGGCGGAGACGAGGATTGCTTCGTGCCCGTATCTCCGCCAGGCTAGAGGTCCCTGGCATAGACGCTCCCCCAACCCCGTTCGCGAGGAGACCGCCAGCAGCGCGGCTCCGTGCTGCCCGCCCGCCCGCTCCCAAGGAGGTAAAGGCGGAGGAAGGGCGTCACTTACGGGGCCCGGGCACGGCTGTTCGCGGCGGCGGGAAGGGCTGCGCTGGAGGTACGGGCTTAGCGGCGGGGCTCCCAGGGGCGAAAGGAGAAAGCCCCCATGCCTGGCCTTCCCACACGTGCGAGGCCGCCCCACTCCCCCTTCCCGCCCTTCCCTCCTCCTCTCCCCCTCGGGAGGCCCCCCCCCCCCTCCTTTCCCGCACTGCCGAGCGGCGAAATGACGCCGCGGGTTGCCGGGGTCTCCCTGAGCGGCTTTCCGGCCGCGTCCCTCTGGATCTTCTGAGCGCCCCTCGCCGCCAGCCTCCGGTGGGTGCCCACGCCTCAAACGCTTAGCGCCAACGCTTTTCTAGTTCTTGCTGTCATTTACCAGTGTTTTCCGACCTTGTTTCGCCCTGAATGCTTTGCACTTCTGCCTCTTAGGAGCTTGTCTGCGGGGGTTAATGCCTCCAGAAACAATGTTTCCCACACAGTTTTAAATGGGTGACAGAGTCGGGGTGCCTCCCCTGACACTGGGCCCACTCCAGTCTGAATGAAACTCCTCATGGCCAGCGTGGCATTAAGCTGCATGCAGTCTTTATCGCAGCACACAATGCGTGGGGGATTGTTCTGCCTAATGTGTGCAGCTGGTGCAAGAGATCTTCAGCTTACAAACATTACTTCTGTTACATATGTAAAGACTTTCCTGGAAAGTACGTACATATTCAATATTTTTCCCTAAAATCACTAAAATAGGGTTCCACTCCCTTGCACATACTCAGTCTTTTAGTCTTTTTGTGGTTGGGGGTCTTGGAACCCTCAATTGTTGCTTGGTACGTCCTTTATTTGAACGCTCTGGTGTTTCTCAAGTTCCTTTAGGGGGATGCTTTGCTGAGAGCAGTGCCAAACATCTATTCTCATCTTACTGGAAATATTGGTGGTAGGTGGGATGGTTGGACTAGATGATTTTGGGGGTCTTTTACATTCTATGATTCGATTAGGAGCATCTTTGTTGTGGCAGGAACCTTATGCAAACAATCCACCCTCTGTTACCTAAGAACTTGTCACAAAACAGTTCCCCACTCTGAGACTTACATCTGCTTCTTCCACCACCTACTTCCTGTATCTTGAGTATAAATCTTCTATATCCTGAACAACTATACATTACTGAAATAATGCAATTTGCAAGTACAAAATAAACATTGTAAGACAAACATTAGAGAACCTGTACTTTTCCCTTTTTTTGATTAAAGGCATCAGCTTGGCTGATGGGAGAAAAGCCTGCACCAATGCCAGGCCCTTCAAACTGCTGAAGAGCCTGCAAACTTTTACTGGATATATTTCACAGGGCAGCTCTGAGGCATGCTTGGTAGGAAAGTGCATCATGTGCAGCTCCATGTGGGATTTCGTGGCCAAGCTCCAGGGAGCGTTGGGAGCTATTGGAGCTCTCTGAACATGTCATGCTTTGGATGTTACTTATGTGACACATCATTGCCAAATTTGTCTGAGAGCTGCAAAAAAGTGCCACAGTATGAGGCCTGACACACATACAATTCTGGTTCTTTTCACTCTGGCATTTTCCATCAGCTCCATAAAACTCTGCTTCTTATGAATTTTGTCATTTTTGTTAGAGATGGCTGACACTTGGTAGCTCTGTGTTTCCATAGGTTGGAGAGTTTTGTGCTTCCCTTTCTTCAGCCTAAATAATTCAAATTGTTCCCCTGGGTTAGATATTCTAAAAAACTTGTTTTAAGCCTAAGAATAGTCTTTGGCTAAGGGGAATTATTGCTAAGAATAGCAAGCATTAAGAATAGCTGGAATAAATCTTGCAGTCATCATCTCTTTTTTTTCCCTGCATATACTCTACTTACAAAAGACCTTTCCCTACTAAAGTCTGCCTACATCAGATTGTTGGGGATACCTTTAAAAATTTTGGCTGTGGATCTGCTTGTCTTTCTTCTGTAATGTTCTGTCACTGTATGTGGTGTGTACATATGTGCATATATACAATATATATATATACACACATACTCATCCCTTCTGTAGTCTTTAAGAAAACAGTTGTTTTGCAAACACCAGAGCTCAGTGATACAGTTGACTTGTGAATAAAAGTCTCCATTGTCTTTGTGTTGTTATGTGCCATCTTTAAACCTGTATCTTTTGCTTAGATCCAATTTTCCAAGAAATTCTGTACCATTTATATTGCATATGGTGTGATCAGCGGTTCTTTCTTTCTTTCTTTCTTTCTTTCTTTCTTTCTTTCTTTCTTTCTTTCTTTCTTTCTTTCTTTCTTTCTTTCTTTCTTTCTTTCTTTCTTTCTTTCTTTCTTTCTCTCTCTCTCTCTCTCTCTCTCTCTTTCTCTCTTTCTCTCTTTCTCTCTTTCTCTCTTTCTCTCT